CCTTATAATGTTAAAATTTTATGCTATCGAAACCCTGAAGTTTCTCTTCAAAAACTCACCTTTTTGGAGGCTCGTTTGCCCGGTGGTGGAAATTGTACTAAATCCGAATTGCTTCGTTGGTGTTGTACTAGCACTGCTAGGGCCGAGTATGTTGTTAGTTATCACTTTGCCTTCGTTACTCTTCGTAAATGTCGTCTTCGTCGAACTGCCAAAATCTTGATCGGCTGGGGAGGATGCATCGCCGCTTCCAGGTGCCGCCGTTGATTCGAATGGAGCTGCAAAATTTGTATTAAAACTTGATGAGGATGGTTTCTGGATAAATGTTTGTCCAGCGGATGCTGCTGGTTGCAGTTGAGACTGTTGTTGGTTGTAAATGTTAGCGCTTAGGTTGTCTGTTTGAGGATTTCGATTGCTGACATCATTTCCGTTTGCAGCTTCATTATTGCTTTCGTTTTCTGCAGTTGGTGGTATGAAAAGGACTGGTGGCAAAGTGGCGGTCTCTTCTTGCTTGTTGCTGTTGTAATTAGGCACTTGCGCGAATGGATTATGGATGTTTGATGGTTTGACAGTGGTAGTGACTTTTGATGGGGAGTTATTAAAAGCAAAAGTACGTGTGGTAGAAGTAGAGGCGGAAGCGAAAGTGGAGTCGTGCCGATTAGATAAACTGGGTGAAGTTTGGAAGGAGTTAAAGGATGCGGGGGAGGAAGTTATGAAAACTGGCTTTGTTGCATCTGTTGCCTCTATGTTCTGCTGCGAGGGTGGCAGCAAATCATTGTGGACGTCTGAATTGGAATCGTCCGTATTGTAAATGAATGGCACACCTGGGCTCAAGTCGGGATAATCGAAGCCAGCTAACCAAGGTGGCAAAGTGGCAGAATCAAACGGATTCTCATCTATTGCCGTTGCTGGAGTTGTCGTCGTGGTTGTGGTTGTTGTTGTCGTGACGAATTGGCCTGAATTCAGCGATCCAAATGGCCGCGCTGGCAAGAAGGGGTTGGAATTTGATAATTTAGATTTTTCCACCGCTACGGTCTCTTCCACTTCGGCATTGGTTATATGATCTACATTAGCGTTAGGAAGATCTTGATTAAATCGACTAAAATAATTAAGCTGTTGGTGCGTAGGTGTTGTTAAACGCGGTCTTTGTGTCGTCGTCGTAGTGGTAGTACTTTTGCTAAGGAATGATGTGCTTACTTTCGAACTGGGGAATGTAGAAGATGAGGCGGATGTTGAATCGTGCGACTGTGCAATGTGATTAGAGGAGAAACGATCATCGAAGGAGTTCGGTTTTTGGGTTGTTGTAGTGCTGGTAGTTTGGGAAGTCGTGGGATAGGCACGCACCCAATGAGGTCGCGGCGTGGACACGGTGGGACGTCGAGTGGTTGTGGTGACGACTTGGCGTGTACTGAAATTTGGAGCTGCGGTACGTGGTCGGTTCGTTGTGGTGGTTGTTGTTGTCAGCTGGGACGCTGGTGCTGGCAAATCGATGTTATTGAGATCGGTGTATGGCTCAAGTGGAGGCAGGATATCCCGGGAGATTGTATCATTGTATTCGTGAATATCATCCGGAACGATGTATGTTACCGCTGCATCCAATTCAGGGTCATCAATATCGGCTAACCAAGATGGTATTGTGAACGAATCACCGTGTTCTAATTGGAAAAAGTCGTTAGGATTAAGCGGCGCAGGAGTGGTAGTTGTTGAAGTGGTTCGACTAGTGGTTGTGGTGCGACGTGTTGTTGTCGTCGTTGGTCTTTTGGTTGTGGTTGTCGTCGTAGGACGTTTAGTTGTTGTTGGACGATTAGTTGTCGTCGTAGTCCTCGTTGTTGTTGGCTTTGTGGTACGCACGGTAGTGGCTCTGGGTGTGGTGGTAGTCGTTGTGCTCGTAGAATGAATGTCGCCCCATTTTGTATCTGTAAGGGGTTCTATGGAAACACTACCTTCACTGGATACGCCTTTTAGATTGCCCTGTGTATTCAAACTCTGCCCGGCGGTGAGGGAAACTTTTATGTTATGTGGTATTGGGTCTTCGACACCAGATACGCGCTGCGGCACATTATTCTCTGCAGTGATTATTTTTGGTTCTTGCTCTAACGGTGGCAGCAAATCCCAAGCGATGACTTTAAGTGAGTAACCATCGTCAGCGGGCATATACTCCACTGGACCACCTATATCAGGGTCGTTTAGCTCGACTATGTACGCCGGCAATGGGCTGATGCCATTGTTTTGTTCATGGGCGGTTGGGAATGGCAAGACTGCACTCGATTCCCTCGCCTTCAATTCGACGAGCTGTGCATTCTCCACATCTACAGTTGTCGTGGTGATTGCTGTTGCAGCCGCTTCCGGAAGTGGGCCCGTGCCAGTCGTACCCTCAGCCGAGTCGCTCGGAACACCAACGGCAATGGGATCTAAGGTGGGAAGGGGAGTTCGGTATTTAGCAGCTATGCGACTTATAATGGCTAGATCAGTAGGCACGTTTGGATAGTTAAAATTACCATTACTCAAGGGAGGGGGAGCATTGTTGTGTGGGATGGTAAGGGCAGGCATTTCGGGTAGGTGAATGAGGCTTTTATTAGTGCTAACTGGATTTTCTTGTGATTTTAGTGGGATTAATGCGGGCGTTAGTGATGGTTTACTATATTCTAAGTTTTGTGAGCGTTCCTCGCTTAAATTAAATAAGGTATGCTTTTTAGAACTTGATTTAGCGAATTGATCAAAATATGTTTGTGCGTGCGATAGTAGAGGCGAAGAAGCCAATAGAAGTGATGCGCTTGTGGTGGTGTCAACAGTGTTTGATTTGAATGTGTTCGAGGTGGTGCTAGTGCCGGCAAGCGTGCGATCCTTTTCACTCAAGTGCATATTTTGTTTTAAGGTGTTGATTTCTTGTGAATTTAAGTTTTTATGTGCATCCGTGCTAATCAAATCGCCACCATTATCAACATTGTTCTTTTCGGGAGTGTTTTTTGTGCTGTGAGTGACCACTATTTCACGTTTAAAACGTGCTAACTCATTTTCAATAATTTCGTTCTCTAATTGCTCGCCATCTATCACTTTCCTTGCATCGGAATGCTCTTGTTGTTCACTTTTCGGTTCATCGTTTTCGTTTTGTTGATCGGTCGTATTTAATTTGGTAGTATTGGTGTGTGCACTAAAAAGTGTATTTTTTGTATTAGTGTTATTATTAAACTCACCAATGAATGGTGGCAGTAAGTCATCGGCCGGCTTCTTTATCTCGGTTATGCCCGAGGCATAGTTCGGTATTTCGAATTGTAAGCCCTGCGCACTGATTACCTTCCGGCCATCGGGTGTATCGATGGGTTTTAGTGCCGAAATCGGGTTACCATAACTATCGATGGCCGAAGGTTGGTTCTGGTTGAAGCCACTGTTACCTACACCGCCATTTTTACCATTTTTTAGAGCAGTAAATTGCGGTGGTTGCGCTTCTAAAGGAAATGGCGATTGTGGTGGTGGTGCAATAGCATCTGAAAAGGAAGTTTTGTTGTTGTTCTATTGTTGTAATGTATTTGTAATTTAGTTTTGTATGTGTGCTGAACGAGTATGCATACATATTATGTATTATCATACATGCATATTACATACTAGAGGAGAAGGTCGAGTACCTGCAGTGAAAAGCCAAACCAGTTTGTGAACATTCTAGCAGATAAATTGGTAGAAGCCGATTAGGTCATCAACTGGTATGAGCTCATATGGAGGCTTACCAGTAAAACCATTTCGAATAACATTCGATTATACGAAAGGCGGCGTTATCTGTCATCGAATTGTCAAAACCAAAACAAAAACGCCGAAAAGTTGGTCTTCTCGCAAATGTCGGCCGTGGAATCAGGTGTAAGTAAAGTCACGATTCTGGTTTCGAGATCGAAGGTGACAATTATTGTTTTTTTTTTTTTTAATTTAGCTCGATTCTGAAATTTTAGCTAATTTGTCAATTTTTATTATTTATCAAGAATTGGTATTCTAGCACAGAAATCAAAAGCGCTTTTCTTGATAAATTATCAAGATTGAAAATGCTATTGACAAATTGAAATTTCATGTGAAATGTATGAATTTTGTATATTAATAAATTTGTTTCTAACAATTAAATACTCCATGTGCCGGCATTTGAACCTGCGACACACGGAATTATAGTCGACATCTCTACCTACTCGGCTACGGCAGTCAAAAGCTTTTTTGCTTTTAAATTCATATTTTTCATATGTGACAATGAAATCAGTTCCATTCATGTGAAAATCAGTTCCAGTAATGTGAAAATCGTAGAGCTCTTTGTTTTATAAATATTGACACCGAAGCTTTTACTTGATAAAAATCTTGATAAATTTTTGTAAAAAAAATCACAGAATTGGGCGGTAAATCAATGTGTGTACATACACTGCCGGAATAAAGTATTGGCACAGCAAACTTTTCACAATATATGCAACAATTTTTTTCCAAAATTTTTCCGCCAATTTTGTATAAAAATATGGTTCATTCAACAATAAAAAAACTTAAAAATATAATTCCTAAACTTTGTACAAAACTCGTGAAAAGTCAGCAAATTTTCATAAAAATTTTCAACTTTTTAATCAGATTTTTTAGAATATATTTGAGTATACAGTTTTGGAGCCCATTAAATTCTAGTAAAAAAATGCAAGTTCGGAGTTAGTCAAAAGTCGCGTTGATTTTTGAGAATTTCTTTTTTGTTGAAGGTTTTTTGCATTTTTTCCATATAAAGTATTTTCGAAAAAATTTTTTGTATGGAAGATACTGCGTGAAACAAAGATTCCGGTTATTCCTAGCTACTTAAAACTTGCACTTTATTATAATAAAATTCATTGGCCTACAAACCTGCATACTCAAAAATTCTAAAAAATCTGATTAAAAAGTTGAAAATTTTCATGATAATTTGCTGAATTTTCGCGAGTTTTGCACAAAGTTTAGGAGTTATACTTTTATGTTTTTTGTTGTAGAATGAACCATATTTTAAGTATGGAAAGAAGATGGAAGTCGAAGTAGTTGAGCTGCAAGCAAAGGGGTGGTATTCTAGTTCACAACTAGTAGCTTTCACTGCAGGAGTGGCTAGTGTGCGTGCGTGTGTTGGTGTTGGTGTCGTAGTGGTGTGTTTTCTCCCGCACATGCATAAGAACGGATTACATACACATCCGTTACCTTAATATAGAAAGGCCCTAACTCATATAGTCGCTGAAATGCAAAAAAGCCGTAACTGACTAAAATTTTTTATTGCTCAAATGATGTGGGATGAAATACATTATAATCAATCAAAACGGTAATTTTGGATTTTTACTTAGTTAGGGCTTTTTGTATTTCAGCGCCGATGTGATATAAATAGGGTCCATATGTACTGGGGATTTCCATGCATAAATCAATCGAAAGTTCCTTCTTACCCAACAGGTGCTGGCTTCATAGTGCATACACTTATTTAAATTTAGAATGTAGATGTTAATATAAGCGCCCTTTACTTCGTGAAATGTTATATTACAATATAGTGCAACGTCCGACAGGATTTAATGCATATTTTTTCATCAAAGATGGAATCGAGCGATTTCAGAACAAAAGTCAAAACAAATATCTACTAATTTCTAGGCATTTTGCTAGATAAAATTGCTAACAGGCATTTAGAACAAAACAATTCTTAATTTAAAGATAATGAAAATCTTAAAAATAGTAAAAATATTTAAATTTTTTTAAATATTTTAGAGCTCCTCCTCTTTGTCATTCGAGTCTTACTTATTTGTCTCATTAGTCGCACAGTATAATATGCAGTTAGGGTTCAATTTTAACTAAAATAAATTTAAAAAATATCGGGTGTTTTAAAGAGATTAATTTGCTAACTTTTCCGGTTTTCTTAGGCAAAAGAACCCACAACGGTAATTATTACCTTAATTTCCGATAATTTTTTTAGTTTATTAAAAATCGTGTCGGGCGACAACTTACTTTATCAACAGAAAAAAGAACAGATACCATGGTTATACCTACGCAAGAACCGCATTAACAAAAAACCGATTTGACTCAACACATATTTCTTTGAAGCATTTATACCTTTATAGTGCACTCGATGAAACCGTATTCAAAAGTAATTAAAATCTGCTGTTTTTATACGACATTTCTTGAATAATTCATTTGCGCGGTTGACCGAAACGGAAGCGAATAATAATTCGAATTTATTATTATAATAATTTCAAATTAAAACGGGATGTTTAGGGGCGATTCCAACGTCACGGGTTGGACATTTGTACAGAAAAAATTTTATTTCTTGTTTAAATTTAAGTATAAAGTACTCAACAAATCTACATTTTGATAAAGCTACACCTAATTGACTATTATATGAGTTATTACAAAATACGAAAAAAATTAAACTTTTAGCTTTTTTTGTCACGAGTGGGACAAGACCAATACTGCTTAATAATAACTCATAATATAGATAAAGCAGTCACACAATTTAATATATAACACAATTTTATTAAAAGCCGATGAGTTCTACTATATATTTTTCTTACCAAACACTTGAATTATGAATCGCAAATTATTTGATAGTGCATTCAACAAAAACTACTTTGCATTTAAAGCTTTAATTTGTTATTTTTTTGGTTGATTCAAGATTTTTACAAATGTCATATCCACACGTTTGTTAGTTTTATAAAGAAAATAATTTTTGGCACTGAGGTTCACTTTCCCATGGAACCTCCCATATAGGAAACCAGCCTATTTTCATTTCGCGTCAAATGAATTATGCGTTTATATATGTTTTCTAACCGATGTGGGAAATAAAAAACCGATTTGAAAACAAATTCGAGTCAATACGCTTTTGAATTTCTGAGCGTATTGAAATTTGGTTTATGCATTATGCGTTTTGAATCACAGCGAACTGGGTCAAAGCGCTTTATGTGTCGGTATAAACAAGGTAAGAAGAGTGGCAATAAATTATGAGTGGTTTTCTGAGAGGTGCAAAGCAAATATTTGCAGATGGACAGCACTAACAAAGACTAAAAATAAATACAAAACTAATAAAAAGCGCTTAAACTAAATACTATGTTGAAGGTACGTGTGTGCCAACTCTGTGTTTTTAATATATTTACATGCGATGAATACAAGAATGAATAACTAAAAATATACATATACATTTGTACATAAGTATGTGTGTATGTATGTATGTATGCACAGTTGGATTATAATTTGCATTTTCAATTTCTGATCGTTTTAATAAAGGAAGACAAATTGATTAATTGTCACTATTATGGAACGCTTACACTATCAACACTTCTAAGTAATATTGAATTACATAACAAAGGCCGGTTGTATTCTGTGACAATTACATTAAGATACACGTACACTTATGCGTACATACATATGTATGTTAGTGCATACTTATTTCCATATTTCTACACGATGTATGTATGTTCACTAGGCTCGATTTAAATTACTTCCCGTACAGCTCGCCATTTGGCCATGTTGCTTAATTACCGTAATTACTTATCATTTTATTTTCTTCTAACATTTGCTTCTAAGTTTACAATGTGGTGATTCGTAATTAGCTGTCTATATATACAGTTTGTTTTGCAGTTATGTGTGCATGAGAATGTGTATTGCAGTCGCTTCAACAACTCACCACCGTGGTTGGGAGTTTGAGCTTATGCCCACTATGATCATAGGAAATGTGGAAGGATGGGGCGAGAATTTTATGTGAAATGTTTATTTCACACTTACACATTCACATTTTAACACCATAAATTTTGCTTAGCTTCCATCGTAATTAAATAGTGTAACCGATTTTTCTTTTTACCTGGTTAACTTGATATTCGCCGTTTATTGTATTTTACGAGGCATTCGATTTTTCAATCAAGTTATTTACTCATCCACTAGTTATTTTTTAATAATTAGCCTTCCGTCAAGTAAATGTGCGCCCAAAAGCATGTGCCCAGTGTTTTAGGCAAAAAAAAAAAAATACATTAAAGTGGCGTCAAGATTTTTTTTGGAATTCCTGAATAATATTTAAATGTATAAATACTGTACAAATGTGTCGGCATTTTCTTAAGAATTACAATGCATGTATTTATCTCCAATTGCTTAAGTACTATGTAGAAGGAATATCTAAGAAATTCTGCAAATTATTATTAATTAAAACTATCTTTAGGAAGTAAAGTCAAAACAATCAAAAATATGCGGGGTTCACAAATCGTATAATATTACAAGTACATAAACCAAGCAGCTTAATTAATTTATTTATCTGTCGGTGTGTCTGCGAATTTTTGCATGCACAGCAGGAAGCAAACACAAATTATGGTGTTAAAATTTAATTATATGGAATTTCGTCTATCACCGATGAGGTGCAAAGCCGACGGGGAGTGTCATACGTTTATAATAAATGTGTATTTAAATTTGTTTACTGACAAATGATTGATTAGACGTCAAATTGATACTTAGCATTAGAAAACAACAGTTCTACGTAGAGCCTTGAGTCTAATTAATTTTTGCAAAACTATGTTTTGCAGTACGTAAGGGTTGCCCTTCTATTTATGTAACTATGTAAAAAAACAATGTTTTGTCGAATGTAAGTGTCACAGGGAAATGTAAAAAGTGCGACCCCTAGGTTCGGCTAAAAAAAATTTTTTTTTTTTGAACTTGGCTTGCAAAACTACTTTACGATTCAGGAATGTGCGGCGAATTTTTTTTTTGGTTGCTTGTATGGTGGTACAGTCTAACGTACATACATATGTATTTATATATATGCAGATACATATGTGAGTACATTAGTTTGTAAGAAAATTTCTTTACAAAGTATAGAAAAGAAAAAAATAATTTTGGGTTTCATTGGGAATTACTCGCAAATTAATTAAACAACTGTTATTTATGGTACAAGCAGACTTATCTTGTTTGACTAGAATGACTCATAGCATTGTAGGAAAGCCCACGCTGTTTTGAAATAAAATATCGTTTATGTGGAAAGGAATTTGCCGAAATTTCCATTATTTGCTTCGTTCATCCGATTAGCCATAAAATTTTTAATCATCAACATTAATCTGGCAAACAGCTAATTTATTTTCTTGTACATACTTCAACAAGCTTCTAACTAAATTACCTAATGGTTTTTTCGTTTCTACCAAAAAATGTCACCTTCTCATTGCCCCTTTCTCTTTTCGTGTTCGATTCTAAAGTAAAGGCAAACAGTGAGAAAATTTTGCTTAAAACGACAATATGTATTATGAAATGCACAAACTAGACAAGGGCAAGAGGGCAAAAAATGCCTTTTTTCAGGGTTCAGTGTAATTTTAAAAATGTTTTGCATCGTGGAAGGGCAACATTTTTTGGATGAAACGAAACGTCATAAATAACTGCGTATTAAAACACATACATACATACATATGTACATATGGGACAGGGCCTGTTAAAATGGAACTACGATTCGACTTTGCAGTTGAGTATGTACGTTTTTTTTATCATGTGTCTATCTTTGATGTTAATGAAAAGAAAAGGAATGTAACTAGAAAGCTGTGGTTTATTACAATAAAATACAAATGGAGTTTCCATATAATCGGTAAATAAGTAAATCCTTGTCATATATGTATGTACATATGAAAACTCATTTGAGCTCAACTCAAGATGTGTGCTTAATAAACGATTTTTCAGCAACCCTTTGCCGTTTTTAAATCGATTAAATCGAAGATCGATTAATCGAGCCCTTTCCAAAAAATTCGAGAATGGACGTTCGGTTTTTCATCAGTTGATGCATATTGATCTATGGTTTGCCCTAGAAAATCTATAAAATGTTTAAGAAAGTTGAACTTGAGGCTAGTACAAAAAATGCAGGTTTGGCAACTCCCACCTTTCCAACTTGAGAAACCAATTACCTTTAAAAAACCTTTTGAGTATGACGTTCTATAGCCCATTGAATTTTAGGCACAAGCTTAAATATGTCATGACTTACAGCTCAAACCCACGCACAAATATTGCCTCGGATAAAATTTCTATCAGGCAATAAAAATGACAGTTAGTAGGCAAAAACTTTTGCCTGTGGAGACGGGCCGTTATGGGATCTGCATGTTAACAAAAACTCGCCACCGCATGATTGTGACGTAGACGTTGCTGTAACAGTTATTCGTCGCTGCCCTATACATTTGATATCGAGCTACCGGGCTTGCTTTCAGCTCAGATAGTGAAACTATTTTCCAGGCCGCCTTTTTGTACTAATTAACTGAACGATTAACCGATCCACTTTTTATAAAGGTTTAAGTTCGCTCCTACCAACTTTTAATAGACAAATTTTCACCACTTTTTTCTCTTTTGTTTTTTAAATATGGTAATATCATGTTTGTCGTATTATTACTAAACGAAACCCGGTTCATAGACCAAAAAACCGTTTCGAAGAGCTGGGGGCAGATTCTGTAACCAGTTAGCGACAATTTTCCTATCGCCATCGCACTTTTTGACGCATTATATGAATATTTTTGCGTTCAATAAATTACTTTCAATCTGCTCACTCGTATAAGCTGTCAAAAACCATTTTTTAAATATATTAACATGTTAAAACGTTAACGTTAAAAAAAAAACAGTTATTTTTAAGCAAAAAATACAACCGACTTCAATGCTCATATAAAAATTTATGAGTACCGTTAATTTCTTGATGGTATAATGATCGGATCTAAATCAAATTGGCATGGGACCCCCTCTGAGGTACCATCTTTCCTTCAAAAAAAGAATTATAGTAATTGGTTAACGTGGTCCAAAGTTATGCGGTAACATACACGAAAAAATAAATATATTCCGAAGAATTGATAACTTCCTCCTTTATTGAAGTCGGAGATTCCCAATAATAATATCTAATTATTTATTTAACCATTTTTGCATAGTAACTATGTATACATATATACTATATATATAACTATATATATAACTATAAAATATATATATTTTATAGTTACAAATGCCATGAGGGATAAATAAAAAAATCGTTCGTATTAAAAAATTGTTAAATAAACAACTGGGTATTGTTTGTGGAAGTCTTCTGAAGAGAACTGAAGTTTTACGATCGAAAAAATATTGATTTTCAAGAATTCTATACCATTTCTACGAAAAAGTTTTTTTTCATATAAAATACATGGACAAATTTAAGCGCTTTGAGCGACATCTAAATATTTTTTGATTTCAAAATAAAAAATTGGGTTATATTTTTTTCGATATAGAACAATCCTAGGGAGTTGGAGCCATAAAATTCCGACTTTACTTATTTTGGACCACCCTAATGACATGCATATCTATGTAATTTATATGCTTGTAGTCTCTCTGCTTGGCATAATTATAGTGATTTGGGTAAATGACAAAATTAGCACTGTTGTGGAAACTGAATTGCATGAATTTTGAAGAAACATATGTGTTAGTGTATGTATGTTTGTATGTGCATTCATATGTATATGTATTTTAGTGTGAAACGCATCCCAAAATCCATTTTAAAAGGTGTTATTTTAGTAAGGTCCTAGTCTAGGTCTTTAACAATTTCGATTTGTACAAAATTTGGTAGACTAGCCAGATAAAAAAAAAAAAGATAAAAGGAAAATGTTAACTGAATAGATTAAGTCCTTTCTATTATATTATTCCATATATGTATGTACTGCCCTCAGCCAATAATGGTGCAGCATTAGTAGTGCAGTTTCACAACACCGGAAATAAATAGTGCAAGTATAAATACATAGCAGAAAAGACATATTATACATATGTACATATCGTTACCTTAATACATATAGAAAGGTCCTATCTCACATCGTCGTTGAAATGAAAAAAAAAAACCGTAACTAACTAAAATTGTTTATTGCATAAAGCGGTGTAATTTGATGAAATGCATCATAATCAATCAAAAAGTAAATTTTGGATTTGGTTAGTTACGGCTTTTTGTATTTCACCGACGATATTAGATAGCGCGTTTCTATATTAAGTTAACGGTATGTATATATGTACAAATGTACATATAAATATGTAGCACGTCAAGGGTTTGAAATACCAAGTTTGGCTGGCGCTCCAAAAGCGGTCGTCACAAATGATCCGCACAATAGGGCAACGGTGATGGCGTGAACAGTTCTTAGCCACAATGTTTGTGAGCCCCGATGAACAGCTATGCGCGCTGATGATGATAGCATATTTTTGATATATTTTGTTTTTGTTTTTATATTTTATTAAATATGTTTTCAGCACCTCCTCAGTGAGGGAATGTTATAAGTATTTTTTTTTTCTGGGCTGCTAAGTTTCCTTCTCTTTGAAAACCTATTGAGTTGGAATGGAAAATATTACGTTTTAAAATGAATTAAATCCTTGATGAAAGTTTAGCACAACTCATGTCCAAATATGTATGTACGTATGCATATATGTATGTAGTATGTGTGTGTATCGTGTGCTGCTTCGATTCCGGTGTTCAATGTGTTTTAACACTTTGTTCACAAACTTATAAAATGCAAAGAAGTGCAAATGTAATACAACTTTTGTAACACTAATTCACTCGTTTAAATTTAGCTTCCATGCATATTATCTATTGATTGCCACTGTTTATCACCTTCACTTTTGATAAATATTTAGCCATATGCCATAACGCAAAAACAGTATTTTTCAGGAGACGCGTTTAAAGTTTTCAAATTGCTCCCAAATTGCAGAAAAAAGAGATTAAAATTGTTTTCTTACGTAGAAACTACACTAAATCTCATATGTATGTAGTATGTACACGTCAGTCCTATATGTCAGCCGTCAATCGGCCAGTTCGTCGGATGTATGTAGATGACAATCACACTGTAGACACTATTTTAATTGTTGTCCGGAACACAAATCGTTACTAAGTATGCAGATATTCCTATTGAATCAACGCGCGATTTACCAATTTTACTAACTTTTTTCTCACTTTACTTTGTGTATTGCTGCAATGAAGGTAGAGCGCCAAAAAATACGTCCACACCGCACGAGTTCTACGATTTTAATAAGTGCGCGTTTCTTGAGTGTGTCTTGCAACAGTACGCCACCGCAGCTTAGAGCAGAGCTTCCAGCGTTTAAAGCGCCATAACAGCCAACCAACAAGTTGCCAGAGCTGATGACGGCTACAGTAACAGCAACAGCGGGTGATCGCCGATTTGCCCGCAGCATCAAGTAGCGCGAAACATACTCGCTCAGCTTGATATTATTTTTTTTATTTTTTTCAACAAAGTGTCTGAGCAATCGTGAGGCGAAAACAGGGAGCTGCGCAGGCGCTCGAAGTCGCAATGATCGCACACATATGTACATACATACATACATACATAAAGCCCCATACATTCGTACATATGAATGTGTTTATAAAGTCTAGATTGTTTTGCATCGAATATAATCGATCGCTTCGCGGCTTGATCGGTTGATCACACAAATGCACTTTCAAAGCGTTTGGGCGTTTTTATTACTGGCTGCCTTTCAACACCACGTTTTGATAGTTATGTGCACATACACATACATATGTACATACTTACATATGTATGTACGTATATCATGCAGAAGCTATTGTTACATATTCATTAATCTTTTATTTGCGTCTGGCTTGGCTTAGTTTTTTCATTTGCTCGTTTATGAATTTTAGGAAAAGTAAGCATTGGAAAATAGTTATTCCAACAAAACCAGCAAGCCATAAATTTATTGTTGTTTGTTTTGTGTCTCGACTATGATTTTTTGCCATTATAATTATTGTGCACAACAAATATCAAGACTAGGTGCATTTTTTTGTAAGCGACCGACAAAAGGACGCTTAACTCGGGTAAAATTTCCTTTTAGCCACATAGGCAAATTTTAAATTTATTTGCCCAAAGTTTCAATTAATTTGCCCAGAGTTTAGTTTTATTAAAATTTTAACTTGATGTGAAAATTTCGCTCTCCAATTTCCCATTAATAATTCAAAATAGAGCAGGGTTTTCAGGTCGTGTATTTTTTAACCGACCTGGCTGAACTCGGATAAATAGCCGAGTTTGTGTCGTTGCTTTGCATGTATTTCGTCATTTAAGCGAGTGAGTGTTCTTTTGTAGCTCGGTTGCAAAAAAATGCCCTTACTAATGCATAAAAAAATACGCGATCGTGCTGAATGCTGCGATGCTGGCACATATCTATGGACAATTTATGCCTTGCATACATTCAGATAAGTATGTACATACATATGTACGTATGCACATTAGGGTGGTCCAAGAATACATGCGGGAGAAAAAAGTTTACAATTTTTGTAGATCCCCCAAAATGGTAAAATAAGCAATTGGTTATGGTTATTGGAAGCCTCGTAAGAGAACCAGAGTTTTCTATACAATTTTTACGAAAAAGAGTTTTTTCCTAATATAAAATACATGGAAAACTTAATGGGCCTTTAGGCATTTCTAAATACATATATTTTTTTTAACAAAAAATACGGGTACTTTTTATTCCATTTAGAAAAATCTTAGGGAGTGAGAGCTTTGTGTACATTTTAAACTTTTTTTGAACCACCCTAATGTACATATGTGTATGCATGAATACACGTATTCACATTTGAAATTAAGTGACTGGTGTGGAGTACTTCGTTAAATAAGTGAAAAAAAAATGATTTTACTGAATAAATAAATTTGACATACCAATGTATGTTTATTTATACTCACAAACAAACACAAGTCATGAGAAAGATGAGATCCAGGTGAAGGCATGCCATTAAAGCCGGCACTATTCGTAGTCTTTTTATAAATATGTATGTACCAAAACTTCACTATGCATACATATGTATGTATATATACATATATACGGGTACCTACATATGCATATGTACATATGTGCATTTTGTACCGTTAAATAAAAAAATCAACAATATTTATGTTTTTAATTGCCAATATCTTTTTCTTGAAAGCGCCGATATGTATAAGTATCTGTAGCATGTTTTTTGGATACTTTCATAAAATATTTTTTTTTTAGCAAAATAGACAACTCGGCAACCTAATTTCCAAAGGAAAACATTAAGTCATTGCCGAAATTCAGCGCCATACCAAATAAATAGAAATGTAGCCATATCATCATCATCATAGTAATTATCTCTATTATCATATTCGTAATCAACTGTGAAATAGTGCAATCAACAAAGCAGTCCATTAAAGGTACGGTGTAGTGACTTCCAGAGACTTGTGTAATACCACACTGCATACATCCATACTCATTCGAATACGATTACAAGTATGTAACAAATATATCTGTGGACATTTGAAAAAAAAAACTTAAGTCTATCTTTCAGGGGCAAACAAAATAGCATATGTCGACAAAACATATTTTACCGTCAAAGTGAAAAATGTAGACTTCAAAAGACATACATAATCCTATGTATACTCATAATTATTTTTTCGCTATTTACAACCTTCAAGATGTTTCTGCTTTCAACAACTGAACATATACGTACGTATATATATATATATATATATAATTAAACATATTGCTCTAACGATTAAGAAAGCTCTGTCGGCATATGAAAATATAGACTTAAGTGGCCAAAAAAGAATATCCTTTTCAAGAAAAATCCCAAAATCGCTCAAAAAGCTAAATGTTTTTAATTCCCGATGTTGTTAGACAATTTGTTTAAACCATAGCCATTTCAACGATGCCGGGTTTTGGTTCGCATCTGTTTATCATTTAATTTTGTAATTTTTTATTGGATTGCAAGAATGTTAATTTTTTTTTGTATGTTAATTAAGAACAGGTTGCGCTTTAAAAATAAACTATGTAGCTATGGTACTTTGCATGAATTCACTCATTTTTAGTTTAATTTAAGGCCAGTTAACTTATGAAACCGATTTAGCTTTTATTTTCATTTAAAACAGGTTCTAATTTTTTTGTGTGCTTTGGAATATTCGACCATAATCATAAAGAAGCGATGGCGAAAATGTTTTTGAAAATTTCTTTTGGTATATTTAATTTGGCAATATAGAAACCTGCTAGAGAGTACATACATATGTATGTATCTGTCAAGTCAAAACCGATAACACAAAAAAAAAACCGATAAATAATAATTAATAGGAAAAAATGTTACTTTGCAAAGACAGGTCTCGAGCCTAACCACATCAAGTCATGATGGCTAGAAACGTGTGATTTATAATTGTAAGCTATGATCTTAAATACATCTGCATGTATAAATGAATGCACATACTTTTGTATATGTACATATATCGAGGGCTTATATTCAATATCCTCTATCTGCAATTTTCACAAAAACTAGTTTCTGTTGTTAGAACCCAGCTGGGATAAATATATGTAAATACATACATATGTATGTGTGTATGCATGTATGTATGTATGTATGTATGTATGTATATATCTGCGAAGTTTAGTTAACTCGTTTTTTTTTAGATTTTCGCAAACTGCTAATCGTGCAGCATCTGCCTTTCATCACAGTTTATTAATTCACATTTGTGAATTTTTCATCTATTGTTTAAATGAAATCGAATTCGTGTGTAACGACGAGTTTATATCCGGGAATGGCTAGGCCATTCTCAATTGTTTTCATTTCACGTCGACTTTCAGTATTCAATTCCATCTGCGATTATTTTGTGATTTGTTGGCTTCACGCTTTCTTTGCAAATTTATTATTAAGCCGTTAGATACTAACCGTAAACCTTAAGCCGGCCGCGTGGTAGGTCACTCGCGTGTATTTATTCAATCAAAATGGATTAAAAATAATTTATTAAAATAATAAAAAACTTTCGCGTTTCATTGAACAGCTTGCTGGGGGAATTTAAGTTGCTGAAAGGTTCATTAAAATACGTTATTTCAGCACGAAATTGTATGGGAAGTTTCTAAATTTTGAACTCACGTACATTATATGCATATGTACATATGTATGTCTGGCTCACAAAAAAGTTCTCTTCCACCATTTACTATATACAGTATTGGCCAATACAATAGCACCACCATTTCAAATTGATATTGTTTGCCACTCATATTCATTTTTATGAATTTTCAATTAAAATACAGTTTATTCTCTAACAAAACTCATATAAACCCAAGCTTAAAAGTTTTTAAAAGATTGCAAAAAAAAACGCGAAAAATTTTCACCCAAATTTCAAACTTTTTTTTTCAGAAGTGTTAGAACTTTTTCGAGTACGCAATTTTATAACACATTCAATTTTAGTCCAATAATGTGCAAGTTTCAAGTGGCTAAAAATTACTGTTGATTTTTTAGAATTTTTTTCGCCAAAGGTGTTGCGAGTTTCTTCCATATAAAAATGAATTGTGTTTATTCGGGACAAAAAAAAAAACATAAAAAATCAACGGTAATTTTTAGCGATTTGAAACTTGCACATTATCAGACTAAAATTGAATGGGTTATAAAATTGCATACTCGAAAAAATTCTAAAAATTCTGAAAAAAAGTTTGATATTTGGGTTTAAATTTGTTGCGTTTTTTTGTAGTCTTTTAAAAAGTTTTAAACTTGGCTTTAGATTAGTTTTGTTAGAGAATGAACTGTGTTTTAATTGAAAATTCTTAAAAATAAATAATTAAACATGTCCACCAAAATATTTCGGAAAAATATTAAGATTTACATACGTGAGCTGGACCGATTTGAAAATACCTCCACAAATGGATTTTTTTTTATTAAAAATAGTTTCTTAAAGAACTTTTTGGAAAAAATCCCTTCAGATGTCAAAACAGTTTAAGCTAAAAAAATCTGCATACAAATATTTAAAAATCTTTCGTTTTTTGTCCCACCCGTGACAGAAGAAATAAATCAGATTTTTTCCATGTAAAAGGAAGCTGGAAATTTTTTCGTATTTTGTAATAACTCATATAACAAGTCAATAAGGTGTAGCTTTATCA